CCCCCCCCCCCCCCCCCCCCCCGATTAGTGCCGCTCCTGTCCCGACTCTTGCGTCCACGGTCTGCCACCCGCAGTGTATAGTGACAGCTGTCCCTCCTCCGTGTCACAGACTTTACTGCGGTTCATTGTAAGAAAACTTTTACTGCGGTTCATTGTAAAATGTACCATGAACTGCAGTAAAGTCTGTGACACATACGGAGGGACAGCTGTATGTTCCGGCGTGTGCGGGGATCCGAATGAAACAGGCGGCTGCCTGTCATTGACAGTGACTGTTAGCCTGGTGGAGGCGGAGCCGATACCCGTCTCTGCAGGCACATCCTGATATGTGGGTCATCGTCTCCTGTGACCCCTCCCCTCCACTGGCCGCCAAGGACACAGAAGAAGAGGTGCTGCAGCCTGCATGTAGGTGAGGTTGGGGAGTCTGTGGGTGATGGCTGGTTTGGGGGGAAAGGGAGGATTTGGGGACTGTAGCTGGGTTGGTGGTAGTCAGCAGTGCTGTATAATAACTACCAACCAGGGCCCCCCTGAGCCCCCACTGACCACCAGGGTAAGGTGACCAGTTATTTGAAATCCAGGGAAATTTTTAAGGGCTCATTTACACTGGAATCGGCTGGCACGTACAGCTCCGCGCTGTGTGCACGGCCGTATCGGGCAGCTCCTGGGAAGGACAGGTGATGTGTGTGATTAGTACACAGCCCCCATTCTTCTCTATGGGACTATGCAGCCGTACGCCGCCCTGTGCTCACCCCGTCCTGCACGTCGGTGCTGGTGAGCGTACCCGTATGCTGACAGGATGGATCCTGCCTGCGTCCGAGCCAGGAAACATGCACCCGTACGGATGTGGTGCAGGGCGGGTGAGCGTAGGGGGGTGTACGGCCTCATACTCCCATAGAGAAGGACAGGGGCTGCGTACTAATCACACGCAGCACCTGTCCTTCCCGGGAGCTGCCCGACACGGCTGTGCACAGCTATGGCCGATTCCAGTGTTAATGAGCCCTACATGTCCCCGGGAACATAAAATAAAACATTTTTGTTTTTTAATACTCACCTGATCCCTGGATCCACCAACAAGCCCAGCCTCCCGTCTCCCGCTGTCAGAAGCGGCATACAGAGCGTGCTGGTTACTACTTAACCCGGCGCTGTGCAGCTTCTGAGAAGATACGCTATTAGTGTAGCGGGAGCGATGCAAAATGCGGAGCCGGCTTCCTCGCTATGCTAATAGCGTATCTTCTCAGAAGCTGCACACAGCGCGTCGGTTTAAGTAGTAACCAGCACACGCTGTATGCAGCTTCTGACAGTGTGGGAGACGGGAGGCTGGGCTTGTCAGTGAATCCAGGGATCAGGTGAGTATTAAAAAACAAAAATGTTTTATTTTATATTTCCGGGGACATAATTTGTGAGGGGATGGTCTCCTCAATCTGGGGACTGTCCCCAGAAATCAGGGATGAGTGGTCAGCCTACACTAGGGAGCCCCCACTAGCCACCAGGGAGCCTCCACTGGCCACCACAGAGCCCCCACTAACCACCAGGGAGCTCCCACTGGCCACAGTGGAGCCCCCACTACCCACCTGGGAGCTACCACAGAGCCACCACTAATTATTAGGGAGCCCCCTCAGATCCCGCACTGACCAGCAGGGAGCCTGCACTGATCACCTGACAGTCCTCATTGGCCACCTGAGAGCCTAATTAGGGAGCCGCCTCTGCTGCACCCACACGCACCTGTGAAACTCTCTGGACACCTGGTGAGAGCCTGCACAACCCTCCTGAGACCCTGGTGACATCAGGCGGCGAACCCAGAGCTTCATATTATTCTGCATTGCTGTAATATGTATTCCTGGGATTTGTAGTCTTCTATTGCTAATGCTATTCTTCCTTGCTGTATAATGGGGCATCTCCCGAGAATAGACTCTGGATCCCCCCCTGATATATACATGACTTAGAAAGGTTAGAATTTAATTTAAAGGAGCAGATACAGGTAATCTCAATGCAAATAGATCTTACACAGTGTAAGAGCTACATTAAAGGGATTTGTCATGGGTTAGTTTTCCCCATTCTAAAGCACTAAAAACTAAATAGGAAATGTAAACAGCAATAATAAATATAACATGTAACCATTTAAACAAAAAAATTTCATGCATTGAATATTATGTTTTTGTTCTTCTTTCTAGTACTCAGCTTATGGAAGTTTGTCACCGAGACCTTCACTTTACCGGACGCTTTCAGATGAAAGTATATGCAGTAACCGCAGGGGGCATGTCTATGCCAGCTCTCATAGTTCATTAATTGACCAGGTTTCAACAAATGACATATTGTTTAGCACGACACCCCCATACAGAAGTACACCTCCTATTTTGAATGATTTGAACACTGCCATGGCAAATCTAAAAAGTATGTATTTATGTATTTTATAATATGCTATTAACATCTGTTTTTTGTTGTGTCACCTGTTTCGAAATATGTATATGTATGCTGCTTAAAGATTATGTAAATCTGATGTTTTGTATTAATGGCATAACTAGCAGCCATCCTAGGTTGCAGCCTTTGGATCAGGACCCCGAATGGGGCACCACAATTTATTTTCTATTGTTTATATGATAGAGTTATTTTACAAAATATGTTTGGAGACTCCAAAACAATGACAGACTGATAGTTAATGGTCCATAAGTACTGTACACTGATGCTCAGAGTTCATGATGGATTGGGCCACTGTTTGTCTGTGTGTGCATTCTCTATAAAATTGGTGGGATTCCTCATCATCCCTAGCATTCATTCTGGACCAAGAAATAGCTTTCCAACTGTCTGCAAGGTGAAACCTGGCATAGCTGTGGCCTCCTTTATTGTTACTTGGCAGCAAAGCAGAATAATTTACTTTTAGTTTGATGGCAAAAATGTAATTTACATTTGCATTCATTAGTCTCTGATAAGGTGTGTAATAGAAGGCGTGTGTAATGGGTGGAGGGATTCTTTATCATTCCCAAGGAGATCAGAAATGGTCCACTTGTTGCAAGTGATGTTATTATCATTCACTTTCCTTGTGATTATCGGAGTATTTATGGCCACCAAAAGCCTTTTTGATATATTGTTTTATATTTTAGCCATCCAGTTGTAAATTTGTAGTTAGGATCATTGTCCCATTGCATGAACCATTTCAAGCCAAACTTCAGGTACATTCTTATTCTGGCTTCATGACTAAGTGGAATGCTGACCATGATCAAGTATGTGCATGAATACATGGTGCCCAAAAATTGTATGTGTACATTCTTGTTCGAGGTCAGTGATCTAACAGTTAGCGAAGGGACTATACGATCAACAGCTTTATAACAAGCACTTTAAAAAGCATGTTAGTAGCAACTTTTTTTTGTTTGCACTTAGGAGTCCAATTGTAGGTCTTTGAGAGATACATTTTCCTGAATAATACTTTTATAATGAGAAACTCACTGTAGGCACAATTATCTTCAAACCTTCTTTTCCAGAGGCTGTAAAGCAATTCCAAATCATTACTGCTTCACTGCCAAGCATCATGGTTGGTGCGAAGTTTTGTGGTGGCATGGTATTTGATTTTGAAGGGAATGTGTTTTTTTGGTTTGTAATGGAATTTGTTTTCAATCTTCAATGCCCAAAGATAATAGAGATTGTCAAATACTTTGTTACCAGAATGAAGCTGCCAATAGATGTGGTTCAAAACACACTTCCCCCTAAAATAGTTGATTTTTATGTGTTTTTTCTTCCTTCCCTAGAAGACTTTTGGTTTTCTGATGGGTCACTCTCCGATAAGTCAAAACTTAATGATCCAGATATATTACCCCTTCCGCAATCAGCAACAGGCTTGGATTGGCCACGACTTGTAAATGCTGCAAGAGCCTTTGAAGGTATTCACCTATGTTATCTGATTGTTTATTTATAGGCTTATTGTAATGGCTGTTTTCATCAGTAAGCTCAAAGAATAGTGTTGCTTGTTTAGAAATAAAGGGATTTATGCAGAATCTCTGTGTGTACAGTTAAGGTATTTTCATTAACTTATTTTTAAACAGGGTGTCTGAAGACATTTAAACCAAGTTCTTCTTTATCGTACATATAATTAACTTTAGTCCTTTTGGTTGCCCTAGGTTCAAGCCAGGGAACTAGAATTTTGTTAGGAGTTGACAATAAGTGCAAATTGCTTTATCTCTTGAGGAATGGCTGCTTCAGGTAAATGTTCTCTGATGTCTGTTGGTGGCCTAACCATTTAGGGAACAAAAAAGTACTTGGTACCCCTCAGAGTTCTTCCCTTTTGGGTGCAGGCCTGCCTCCCAGGAACTGCTGTTAGTTTGACCTGAGGTCCTGATTTATGTAGCAAAGCTGCTATTAGCAGTAACTTGCTGAAGGAATAGTTTGCACTGGACCTAACTAGTCTCCAGGTGAAGAAATCACTTAAAGAGGCTATCCCTTAAGTCCTTTTCCAGACCCAAGGAATGTCCATAACTTTAAGTCAAGAGTAGGTGAGAGAAAAGAAGGCACTTACATAGGAGGCCTTAAAACATGTCATAAACATTGCTCCGCACGTTGCCCCTGTGCAAACTACCGATAGTGAGATGTTGAGCTAAATTAGATAGAAATGCAGATTCAGGTAACTTTGAATGGGCTGTCAAGAAGTGTTGCACGATTTGATTGTTTTGTTGTGAAACGTACCAGGAACAGATGGCTTGTCAGGGTACTGTTGTGAGATGGTAAGTGGGTGAATTTCCTACTTGATACTGAGCTTCCCAGCCAATATTTATAATGTCTAGTGAGTTGCCCATTGCTGTCAGTGGCTTTATAGTGATAGACATACAGTATATCTGTGGGAAAAACCAAGGGGTTGTTGTGGCACAGGAGAGCTGAAAGTAAGCTTCACAAGAAGAAATAGATAATAAGCAGAGGAGAACAAAAGAGTGTAGAAAATATAGGTAACATTGAATGTCCTATGTACACATTTTGGGATGACAAATGTCCAAGCAACCACTTTAAAGCTGGAAAAGAAAGTTATTAGTTAACCACCCAGATCTGATCATCTATCCCATCCCATTTTATCCCATCACTCGTAATAAAAATAACCCACAGATCCAAGCTTTGCTTGGATCAAAACATAGGAGACTAAGCGCTGCACTAGGTTGCAATATATAAAAAAAGTTATAGAAAAAATAGATGAAAAAAGTGGCAAAAGTACCTATAGAACACATAAACAGTAAATGTGCGCATTCCCCCAAAAGATTTAATTAGAATCAACATAGGACAATGTGAATCCACATAAATATAAAGGGAGACATGTCTTTTATTAACTTGCTTATTACCTTCATTACCCTACTTATACAGGTCCACATCCTCTTACATGCAATTACAATTTACATAACAATAAATGATCTGTCATGTAGAAGGGCTTTATGTGGTTTAAAAAATATGAAATATGGACTAGGTCTGGCAGATTGAAAAGTATTTGCAGATATTCATTGACCAAATACTAACTCAGTCCGCTGTGAATCCTGAACCCAGCAGACCAACTCACTTATCTCTAATTATGAGTAACATCTCTAAGTAAGACTAAAGCTGACCATATATAGATGTATCTTCTGGTTATTGTCATAATTGCCAGAGCCATGAGTTCTAACCCCTGTTTGAATGATTCCAGGCTCTGTTTCTCTGAACCGATATGTTGATTTAAAAGTTTACCTTCATATTGAATTATGTTGATTTAGAACATACATTTTCACTTTTCTCTTTACTCGTACAATACCTAATTACAGGCAATGCTAGATCACATTTAAAACCTGAGTAATGCATCCTGAGGCAAAATTAAAGATAAACTGCAGGCAAATATAAAAGGAACAAATTATTGTAGCTATGCATTCATTTTACTTTTTTTAAGTTCCTCTTGCAATCCCTTGTACAGCAGAGCTGTAATTGAGAAAGGGAGGGGCAGGATTGAAAACTACCCAGGTATGCTGAATGCCAATGTTTTGACAAGGAACATGTTGATTGGCAGACAAAGCAGAGGGAGCAGAGAGATTACCTCTCCAGTCTGTTGCTGCCAATTTACTGTCATGGCAGTGGTCTTCTATACTGTAGAAGACCACTCTATGTCTTCTACACTATAAATGTAACAGACAATGCTGGCTGTGCTATGCAATGAGGCTGCATAAATCTCAAGTTTCGGGACCAAGGACCGCTCCTTTACATATATGTATTTCATCTATGTATTTAGCTTTTTGACTGGAGTTCTGCATTAATATGCCAGAATAGAGATCATGACCTAGATTAAGGCTCTTGCTGATTGTCCTTCTCTGTCAGTACTTACTGTAATTTGTTTAGTTAGTAAGAATGGACACAATAACTGCACTGTGTACAAGAGTGAAGGTTGCATTTAATGCTGTTTATAGAAGCAGTGCGACTGATCTACCACCTGAAGTGGCCATACAAGTGCCAATATTTCCAAGTGTAACAATTGCATTGTGCAATGATGCTGTGGCCAGTGGGCGCAAGAGAGCTGGTTAGGGTACTGGATTCTTTGCATTTGGTATTTAGGTCTCCATTTTTTTAATTTGTTGGTTTCTCTTTTTTTCCTATTCATTTGTGGTTTCTGAATAGTTCACTAGTTCCACCCTGACTGCTTTTTTTGACAGTTAGGACAGCTTTTCTCTTCCTCAAGTCTTTGTTGGATAAATGCTTATTCTTCATAGCTCGTTAGAAAGAAAGAAAAGGAACCGGATTATCTAGCAACAAAATGCATTATGAAACCAAGTTCAATGAACTAGTCACTTAAATACAGTACAGATTAAAAGTCTGGTAGCGAATGGCGTTTATTCTATATATATATTTATATACAGTATATATAATCTTTACCTGTAGTATGTGTTTAATTTGGATAATTATAACTTTGACGAAGTGCCAATTCTGTGTATCATTTAATCACAAGTGTTACACATTCATTGTCAAAGCATAATTCCTTGCTTCCCAACACTCATTATGATAAATGGCATATTGTCTTCAACATTACAGAACAAGTCCAGTTAGAGGTAACTAAGTACAGCTTGCTATACCGTGACCTGGATAAATAACAGACATAAAATACATAATACCATGTTGTTTTAAATGCACACAAGAATGCTAATTATTTTGTTCTATGTGTATTACGGAAAAATGTAAGTAAATGCAAACTCATGTCAGAATATCCTGATTTAAAACGGATAACGCAGATGTGGTAGAGTAGAGCATTTTGATTACTCTGTGCACATTCCAGCAATTGAAAAAGATCAGAACAGCCAATAAACAAGAGTTGGATGACCAGTCAAGATAGTTTCCTATGTCTTTGCACACTGAGTTTATACAATACATTATGTAAAGGTGATAATGGTACTCCTCAAAGCTGTGCCTATAATGAGGCAGCCTGAGACAGTTGCCTCAGGCGGTATCTCATTGGGCACGTGGGGGATATGGCAGGTGTGCCTGCCGCCCCCTTTTCAGCCAGACTGTCTTAGGTTGGTAAGAGCAACCTGTGATGCTCTAGCCAGCACCTGGCTCAGCGGGAAGCACCAGCCGGCCTCCCACCCAGCTAATTGCAGCCAGCTAATTGTAAATGTGCTGGGCGGAATGCTGGACGGCTCCCCATCCACCGCGCCTCAGGTCATGCATAGTCTAGGGACACCCCTGATAGTCCTCAAACATTATACTCTCAGATGAAGCAGGGGTTCCTTGTGTCATATCACCATGGATGTCATATATCCATTGTTAAAAATGTTGACTGATTTATGCAACTATTATAATTAGTTTGATATGTATAAGAATTACTGAAAATATAAAATCCCAACACCAGTTTATAATTTTTTTAACGTTTTGGATAGACTTGGGAAGAGTAAATACTTCTGCCAAGTTTAAATTGCTGTCCATGGCCTTATTTCCCTGGGACAGGACCAGAAATAGGGGAGCTGTTGCCACTGAAGTAGGAGGACAAAGACTGTAACATTAACCTGGACAAAAATCCACCCTGTCCCAGTACCTTTCTATCCCAGCTACGAGGCAGCTATTATGGCCACAGTGTCACCACTTAAATCTGAAATGACAGAAATGGGCAGCACATTAAGGGCTTCATTTATAAAACTTTCGCTCATATAACTGGATGGATGCCATTTGCACAGCACCCGCGCCCCTAGATGGCGCTGACAAGTATTGGAATTAACAGATAAGACTTCAGATGTGTATTAAGGTCAAAAAGCAAAACAAAACCATACAATGTTACCTGACAGAGTTTGTAACCCTTCCCCATATTGTTGAAAAATGTGCTATTTGTGCTATAATTTTAACATACATTGTTGCTTTAAATGTTCAGGTGACAGTGTCTTCTGATAGCCCACATAAACAGCAAGGTGTACTCCCCTGTCCTGCCTCCCTTGCCAATCCCAATCACTTTCCTACTGTGTTTGCTTTTGGTACAGACTCTGAGAATCTGAATACTGGACAAATTAGTATGCGATGGGTTTGCAGCTGCTGAACTTCCCATCACAGAAAAAAAAGAGGTTTATCTGGAGTATTGAAGGGAAAAAAAACGCTAATAGGGTAGTGTTTCTATAATGTTGTCACTCTGTAGCAGATCAGCTGGTAGAACATCTGGAAATAAGAGATAGAATTGTCATTTTTTTCACTGACATCAAGGCTTTAATAATGAGCACTAGTCCACATTTTTACCCATACTGCTAAACTTCAAACTCATTACTGCTGGAGCAGTGCAGTATCCAGTAACAAGGATGACCTGTCCTTGAGGAGCAAAGATGCTTGGTTAGCATATATCTTTAGAATATAGATGCTAGAATATAGATGCTGCTGTCTCAAAAAGGATAAAAAATGGAATAAAAGTGCAACCAAACGTTTTCTTCAGTTTTGTTTAGACTGGGGAATGTTTTATTGTATTGCTGCCTGTGGCCTTGTTAAGGAAATGTCCCCTCCCTTTCTTTTGTGTCACTTCCTTTAGTGTATACAAATCTTAAAGTGACACTAAACTCGAGTTAAAGTGACATTGAACCTTTTTTTTTTTATGTTGGCCAGATTAGCTAAAAAAAAAGTTATTTTATAATTTATTGTTTTAATTACCTAGTTCTCAAATGGTATCCAGACCGCTAGGCTTCCCATCTACTGTACAGGTGCCTCCATCAGCTAGCTAAAAGCTGCGGAGGCACCCGCACGTGCACGGCCATGGCCATGCCTGCACCTAGCTGTGTGCTTCCATAGAGACGGACACAGCATGCAGTCGGCCACGCCCCCACCCTGCAGTCATAGCTTGACTGAGGGCAGAAGGAGTCTATGGCTTTTCTGCCCTCAGTACGGGGAAACCCGTGTATCTTCCTGGTCGCAGCAGAGGAGACGAGTGGTTGCTGGTAAGTGTGGGGGGGCGTATATAAAGTGCTGGGTGTCTTTTGCCTTGATGCAGAGAGTGCATTAAGGCAAAACAAAACAGCCTTTAATGCTACTTTAAATGTTATAAATGCATTTAAGTACCTTAACTATTAACATAAATGTATCTTATTTGTGTATCACTCGGCTGTAGATCCTCAATTCATCCCCGAATTCATAGATATTGTCCTTCCTTCTGGAGGGTGGCTACATTTGTTCACCATGGTCCCTGTGTGTGTTGTAAAGTACCCACCACTCCAAGCTTGCTCCCGTGATGGACTACAATCTTGCATTTAGTTCATTAATTTGTATTGAGAGTGTAGTCCATCATGTGAGTGAGCTTGGAGCGGTAACTATCTCACAAAACACATAGGGGCCATAGGGAGCAAAAGTAAGCACCCTCCAGAAGGAAGGACAGTGTCAGCACCAATACAGAGACGATTTGAGGACCTACAGCCGAGTGCTACACAAATAAGATACATTTATGTTAATACCGTGTTTCCCCGAAAATAAGACACTGTCTTATTTTTTTCCACGAAAAAAGACACTAGGTCCTATTTTCGGGGATGTCTTATTTTTACCTGGCTGCAGCTGTCTGAAGCTCTCCGCTCTCTGCTCCGAGCAGAGTTAGTACAGGATAGTCCCGGCGGCAGACAGTACCGGGCTGTCGAAGTTGGTGGATGATATGCCGCTTCCATAGGGCGTGCGTGCGGGGGGGCGTGTGGGGTAGCTGCGGCCGGTCTTCACATTTAAAATTCAGTTATATGTGCAGCTACCCCGAAAATAAGACCTAACGCTATCTTCAGGGATTTCTGTAATATAAGATCTACCACCGAACTAGGTCTTATTTTCGGGGTAGGTCTTATATTACAGAAATCCGTGAAGATAGCGCTAGGTCTTACTTTCGGGGTAGGTCTTACTTTCTGGGAAACACGGTAGTTAGGGCACTTGAATGCATTTATAAGATTTAACTCCAGAGCTTCGTTAAATATCAAACCTCTAAATATTTATTGCTATAAAAGTTTGGCTTCTCTTTTACATACTGTTGCAGATGATTATGACAGCAACAAGTTCCTATCTCTATAATCTTGGTTTTTCTTTTTTCTTCAGATCAATGCATGGAATCATTTTGCACTTTAAATGACATGGAGTACGGACAGAGCTTTAAAGCATCTCAAACACAATCTTCTGGCTCCCACTCTGTAAATGAGAAAGACTATGGTGATGCTGCTGGGTATGTAAATAAGACAAATATTCTTGAAGTGTAGATATAGTTATCCATAATTTATATTTGGCTTAAGAATGTATTAGCATTAATTAAATGTCTTTAGTGTGAAACGCTTCCTACCTGTGAAGGTTCATTCATACAAACGTTACATTTTGTTCTGTACCTGCAGTATTTTTTCAGTGTACCAAAGTATTTTCTAAAAATTGTGAATGGTTAACAATGTCATGTGTCTCATGTGTCTACATGCAACTCTAATCCCTGTACTGTACATGCGACTAAAAACTACAAAACATTTTTTTCTACTCGCGTTTTGGAAATAATACAGAGGTACGAAAGGCTCTGAGGAGTTGTTTGCTCTACAGGTGGCCTTATTATTTGTTGACCCTTTAGATATGTATTCAGATTTTTATGACAAATGGCTGCCTCAGATATAAGCACAGGAAGTGGAAGTGTGTTGGCAATATGTCTTTCACAAAGCAGGTATGCAAACATTTGCGCGTTATCGTGTGGTAAAACGCGCAATATCGCGCAAAATGACAATCGCGTGCCAAACATGTGATTTGCAATCTGCTCAGTGCAGCACCAGTGCTGAGGTGTGACCATCACCATTGCTAATTTTGGAAACAGTTTTGATGCACTTTTTCAACTGGTAAAGTGCTTAGGAGAAGGCCTGGGCGTAGAAATGTTGATCAACTGTTAAAATTGTTTATGGTTGTATGGTAATGTATTGTTGCTTTATGACTCAGACCAGCAAGAAAAAACATAACTGTTGTAGTGTCTTGAGCTTGTCTTCCTGCCTCCTGACATGCCAGAGGAGCAGAAGGAGAAAATGCAGAGCTCGTCTATGGAGGGTTTATGTTGCTGTCATTAGACCAGGTGATCTGCAAAATCTCAATCCTGTATAGGGAAAAAAGGCAACAAGCTTTCTCTAACACCTTCCCCATACAAGGCTGAGATATTAGCAGGACAGGGTAATAATAATGATAAAATGATTCATAACAGCTCCTGTAGAATAAAAGAATCACTGAGGACTGTGGGGAGATTAATTTTAAGACCACAGAAATGTTATCAATGCAAACAGCTAAACTCACACATAAAATACATATTTAGGAGCTGTTCAAAAGATGTGTTTCTGTACATCCATTTTACACAGCTCTGCTGTAGTTAACCAGCCTGTGACTAGGCAGTAAAAAGAAAAGCAGCAGACTGATGACCTCATCTCTCTGTCTTCACATATTAGCACTTGTTAGTACATGGGCACTGCAGCAAAACAGACTGGCTCCTTATGCTGATTCTCCCGCTCTCAGTCTGAGTCCTGCTGAATAGCATCTGCCAGCAGCTAATACCAGGTCAAACTGAGGTACTTACACTGCTTGCATATAAAACATACTTATATTAATTTATTAATGTAAATGTATTAATAAATTTAGAGCTGCTTAATTCGTGTATGTTATATCTACCTGCAGTACTCTACAAGTTTAAACAGAGTCCCGGCGGCAAAAGTCGCCGGGAGTCTGTTTAAACAGCCCCGATGCTGGTGACGTACACTGTACGTCATCAGTCACGAAGGGGTTAAAGCCAATTCACCAGTATACATGTTCCTGCATAAAAAGTGAAATCCCATTCATTACAATGTGACAAGTTCACATGTATGTACTGTTTTTATAAAACAGGACATATACCTTCACATGCCTTAACAAACATTAAACAATCCTATTGAAATGAGCAACACTGCATGTATCATGTATTTTAATGCATTTGTGCACACCTGCACCCGGAAAAATCTTTTTTTTTCTCTGAAGAATGTGTCCCCCTTAATTTGCATTACACATGAAAAAAATGATGCACACGGTAGCTCACATCAAAACAACATTACTACATAGGTAAGGAAGAGTGAAGTTCTGAGCAGAAGATGGCACTCATCTCATGCTCCTCCCAGCTTCCTTCTCCCTGCAGAGTGATGTGCTGTCCTTCAGTTAGGGGACTGGGGGGATGCAGTATGTGAAAAATTGGCTGTAAAAAAGCATTAATATTTACCACATTGGACACATTTCAGACATTCTTCTTTCCAAGGAGAAAAGAGAAAAGAGTGGTTGTTGGGGTGATGTATGGCAGGCACCAGAAATTCCACCTTAAAGTAGTATTCAAATCTCAAATTGATTTCAATAATGAATCCATACCAAACAAACATACATTACCCAGGACAGTATTTCTTTACATTTTTGTCCAAGCACTTACAGTCATCATGTTTCCAAACAGCTGACTCCAACTCTCTCAGCTCGGCTCAAATTCCTGTTTAATATAAGATCACAAAGGGCAGAGAAGTCTCCAGCAGCTGTCCATGTACTAGCTTGAAAAAGGAAGAAGGAAGGAGCAGGGAGAGGAGAGAAGTTTTTTTTTTTGCTGTGTCTGTGTGTTTGTGGAGACAAACACAGTTTAGTTGCACACAAAAGCATGGCTCCATAGGGCCCTGTAAGGGAAAGGAGCCACGCTAAAACAGCATATGAGGACCAGTGCTCAGTGGACCAGCTGATTCTGCAGAAAGCTGAATCTTTTAAATATGAAGGAGCAGCATCCATTGTAAGTGATTTTCTCAGCATTTGAAATAACTTAAAAACCTCTTGGCTTTAATATAATTTTAACCATGCTATTGGATAGTAAACATCATCCAATGCATGTAGGTAAGGACAGCAAACTACAAAAGAGCTAGAGCACCAAACCTGGCATGCAGCTATGATATTTTTAATCAAAGTCCAACACGGCACACCCACACCACATTGCATAATGCAATGTAGAAATCATTTTTTGTCTAATTTGACGAGCACAGAAGTGGGGAAAGACATCTATAGTAAGACTCCAAAGAGATTTGTAAGAAGACAAATCCAAAGTGGTGAGAAGCATCTTTTTAAGCTACTATAGCTAGCAATCAATTTATGTAATGAAAAAACAAAAACACATTCATGTCTATTGTGATTTTAAGAAGGCTTTATGCCCTAAAGGTATGGCTATGTTTTCTTTAGTGTTAAAGTTGACCATGCATTATGATTGCACTAAATAAGCCAACTATACATAATATCAATTTTTGGTTTTCTGTAGGACTAAAGTTGGCCATACACTACATGAATTTTTCAGCACTCTTTCATCCAGAATCCTTCAATCAGAAAATGGAAGGAGCTGGATGGAGAATCTTCAGACGAACAGTGATGGCAGCCCCTCACTCACTGCTGTCAGAAGAATCTGTTATATTTTTTGAATTCAGCACGCAGGCTGAATGAAAAAAATATTAGTTTATGATTATGATAACAAAGACACCTTTAGAAATGTAATAGCAAGCTACAAACAGATACTTATAGGCTTTTTATTCTTTGCATCCCCTATTCTTCTTTTCCTCCCATTCTTCTCACGGCGGCCATTTTCACTAAGATCAGATGAATCCATCTCTTTACTTCCTGGAGCTCTGGGTCTGCCTCCTGGAAGATCAGACAGTGCACATCATCTATCGTCTGTGGCCTTTCCACCGAGATCCTGAGAGATTTTGCATTTTACAGATGAGATTTCCCAGGAAGGCACTGGTGATGTAGCTTTCCCAGTATGCTTCTGTGTAGCCGGGGCTACATCACCAGTGCCTCACTCAACCAGGAAGTGGAAAAACAGTCATTTTAAATAACAGCAGACTATATTTATTTAACTAATGAATGCTGATGCAGAGCTGCATGCTGGTGTGATTCTTAGTGAAATGGGGTAAAGATCCACTTTAAGTGCATGTACTTAATATTAGTAATATGTAACACTTACTGGTATTTATTACCTCTTCCATAGAGATCACAGTATTTCTCTTGACAATGCATCTGCCATCTTTGTTCAGCCATCACCTAGTTTCAGCATCTGCTTTCAAAACTGAGGTGGTGGTTCAGAGATGACATAAAGTTAAGCTGGTCATACATACACTGCTTAGATTTTCGAAAAAAAACTTTTTGTTCAACGTTCTATTTGTTGATGGGGTCAAGTCTTACGTAATTTTGATTGGAAATCTAGTAGAATATGGCCAGCTTTACACAGTAGCAATCTGATTATTAGGAAAGAGGAGGCTGTAGAAATGCTGGCTGTAGCATCATCTCAGACAAGGCAAAGCCACTCCCCTGGAGCTCAAGGAATGCTTTTTAATTATAAAAGGTGGGGAAAAAAATACTTCCGCTGTATATTGTGACAAAGTCAGGAGTTTACTTATGCAAAGTTACTAAAAGGTCAACTTTAGTAGAAAAAAATACATACTGGGTGCTAGTGTACACAGTCCAGGTACGTTTGCATTCTTGCTGGCCCTGTAGAGGTGTCGGGAGCCAGAATGTGATATCACTCCGGTCCAAGCACCTCTACAGGGCATGCAAGGGAGTAGTAAGCAATGCATGTATGGATGGAGCTCCCTCATGGCCATAGCTCCAGCCCACCTCACCTCACCTCTAAGCTGACACTCGGTGCCAGGCAGCATATTTTGAATGGCTGCTTGGCGTGAAAACTGATAGTGCTGCACTAGGAAAAGGCTGAGGAGCCTCTCACCTAGAAAAGTGTCGCAACCCACTGATCACGGGGTCACGACCCACCAGTTGAGAACCAATGGCATAAACACATCCTGATTCTGGTGATGCAACAAGAGATGGTCAGGGACTGTGAACGTGCTATAGGAGGCATTGGAGCCTGAGGACATGCTTTAGGAGACAGTCATAGCCTGAAGACAGATGAGATGATATTGCTAGATATCACTGCTATTACAGCCCATTTACAAATCAAAGCTCCCACGTTTGTGCTTCCTACAGCCCCCTCAAAATGTACCTGATAGTCTTTATAACAAAATACATTATAAAAACATAAAAAGAAGATAAAAGAACAGTGTGCACAGAAAAAGTAAGATAGTGTGAAAGAAATAATGCAAACATTTAACTACTAGAACGCGCTTTAAAGAACATTTTCTTTCACTGGGCTGAATAAGCATCCAGGTGAGGAAAGATTACTGTCTGCAGGGGCCCAGAGGGCCACACAATAAGTGACAAAGATTTGCAAGTTGGGCACCAGAGCTTCAGATTGTATTTTGTTTCTATGTAAGGCCTCACTAAAGTGACAAATGGCCCTTTGACTTATAAAGGACTTATTAGGCTGCTCTACACTGTTAGAAGTTCACAGGAATCAGGTGAAATTCTTACATTGTGTGGCCCAGTCTTCTGAACAAAAGTTGATTACTGGGGGAGCCAGGCCAAATATTTTCGGACTAGTAGTGACTGCAGCCAACAAGCTGTTCATGTATTTCGACAGCAGCAGGCATCCACTGTTAGAATGCAATAGCTGCAGAGGGATATTTATCCATCCACATGGGTGGAGGAATCTGTTAAGTGTTTATCATTCAAATTAATTTAAAACAAATTTAATAGTATATGGCCAGCTTAAGAATAAAAGGCTGTAATTCATTGTTATTCACAGCCGCCGGAGACATCTCTGCCCTTTGTGATCTTGTACTCTGCATAAAAATGTTCCTGTACTGCAATATAAAATATCTCTATAGATAGATTATAAACAGTGATTGGGCTGTCGGTAGTCAAAAAATGTTTTAAGACTTGAAAAAAAGAATATCTCCCAGGCTTCAAAATTGTTCTTTGAAGCAGGATTTTGCTACATCACCATTCATTATGCTTTGACATATTCCAGAACATGTTTCCTATAGATATTGTTGCAGTGTATTCATCACCAGTTGTCTGTATAATAGAAACTGACAGGTGTGTATTACATTTAACTTGAATGAGCAATGGTATTCAAATAGAAATGTATATAAAAGTGATATAAATATTTCTGTGAAAAGTTTTGAAGTGCAGATGCGATGCATACATTTCATAGATGAAAGGAGGCAAAGCTGTTGGTCTTCCACTGGTGCTGGAGTATTGCTACTGTAGAACTCCTTCTCTTGGTGTGCCGTGGAATGGCCCCACTAAGTTGTAAGGCAGGCTAACATTTCTGTCTTGGGCTCCGGTTGTTGGTGTATGGCGGAGTGATGTCACTTTTTACCTTTTATTTGTGAACTCAATTGTAGGAGAGCGGCTTTAGGGGTGCAGGATACCCAAAAATAAGTCAGAACTTCTGGAGTAGCAGTAGTGGTAGACCCTTTTATAGCAGTCCCAGTCTTTGGGTAGCTTTAGTTAAAACAATATAGTTATAAAGTGTCCTTAGAAGTTATGTTTGTAGTTATGCCACCAAACGCAACCACGAATGGACAGATACACTTCATCTAGAGGCAGCTGGTGAGAGACATACTTACCCCCCCTAACTTTTTTTTTGCATCTGTCTGGTTCTGTGTCCATCACCACTCTAATCTCATACCTTCTTTACAACAAGTGTGTGGCAAACCAACAATGTGTTGATTTGGCCTGGCTCCCTCAGTAATCAAGTTGATTAGTTTATGAGTACATAACTTGATTAAAGGTTGTTTTTCTGTTTGCAGCAATTTTTCATTTTTCGTGTACACTGTATTGTGCATCTCTAAGATGCCATAAATAAACCAGGTGTCATGAAAGATGTAACTCATGTGCACATATGCAGGGTTGCATCATCATTAGCCACCCAATGATCAAAGAGGACTTCTGAGAACCTAGTAGTGTCAGTGTTGGATATGGTGGCAGCGGGACCGAAGATTGATCCAACAATGCTGGGCACACTTAAGTGTGCCCTAAAGTGAATGGGTGAAAAACAAATAAAGATCATAACAGTTTACTTCCGATGTAACTTAGGATATGTTCTGGTTCAGCTGATAATACAGCACAACAGTCTTACTGAATGTATTTTTTTGTGTGATTCATTCATGGATACACAGATAATTTTTTTGTTGCAGGCAGAGCTCTGCACTCACTGGAAAAGTAAACCAACTTGAAGTCATTCTGAAAAAGCTACAAACAGATCTTCTTAAAGTAAGCAATCATCCTTCATATAAAATATTGTTTTTGTATTTTAGTTGACCTGCAATTATGTGTCCCAAGTTTACACTTTATGAAATGTAGTCTTTTGTCAAAATGTTTTGTGCACACTAACGTTTTTCACTCATTTCTCTTATTTACATTAGACTTTCCACAATTTTAAACCACAATCTGCACATAACTGCCAAATAACAATCACATAAACTGTTTACTAGAGAAGAGGTTGCGGGTTCCCTGCTACCATGGGTTTGAGATATGCAGTCCCGGCAAATATAGGAGCTGAAGATTTGTTCAAACCATATTTTGGCTAGTTGGTTCAGAAGGGCCTTTCAGGGGACTTGTGGTTAGGCCAGTCCCCTCACTATAAAGTGTTTGTGATTTGGAGCCTATTCTACGAAAATCTGACAGACTGCATGGAGAGAGATTAGGGTCAGTTAGGAATTAGGTCAATTCTGATTGGGCAATTAGGTCAATTCTCTTTGGCCAATCAAACCTTTTGCTGCCTTTTTTAGTTCTTATTATTGTTGTTTGTTTTTTTCTTTTATTGTATATTATGAACAAAAAAGGATTGGTGGTGCGCAGGTCCTGAGTGAGGTGCCAACCCCTAGTTAAGTATAATAAAGAATAGAAAGAAAAGTTGGGGATTTGCGCACCAATTCCCAAGTACCAATGAGCTTCAAACATGAGGTAGTAGTACATAATCAGATAATAATTATATACATGATTGTAGAGTTCAAAATTGGATACAATCAATAAACAAAATTACATCCATAAGCTGAGATAACCAAAACCTCTAATGGAAACACATTTGGTGGGTGGTGGTGCAGTACATGCAGAGCTCATTGGAGATGCTGTACTTGCATTATTTTTCTCAACGTGGAATGAGCACCATCAGGGGCTGGTCCTTTGAAGTGCCAAGAAACACAGTAGCAGCATAGGGACCTGGGCAAATCAGCCTCATAAGCGACCTGGTGGCAACCGCCACACGGCTCTGCATGCATCGGCTGCAGCAGATGGTGGAGGTTGCCACCAGGTCGGTTATCAGGCTGATTTCCTCAGGTCCCTATGCTGCTACTGTGTTTCTTGGCACTTCAAAGGACCAGCCCCTGATGGTGCTCATTCCAGCCTCCTCCATACAGTGAACACCCACCCCCCTGTTCCGCAGCGCCTTTGCACACGCATCTGTGGATCACACTGTAAGGGGACCTCCTTCTCCTGATGAAGCGCCCCGCGGCGCGAAAGGCGTTGAGCAAAACAATCCAGTACGGCATCTCCAACGAGCTCTGCAAGTACTGCACCACCACCAACCAAATGTGTTTCCATTAGAGGCTTTGGTTATCTCAGCTTATGGATGTAATTTTCTTTATTGATTGTATCCAATTTTGAACTCTACAATCATGTGTATAATTATTATCTGATTATGTACTACTACCTCATATATGCAATCTAGTGGGTGAAAGGAGGTTTTCATCAAATCATGCATTGTTTTATTTCTATGTATCATACTGAGGATTTTTAACTTTTACACCAAATTAAAATATATATTTTTATACTTCATAGTTGTTTGAAGCTCATTGGTGCCCAAAACCCCAACTTTTCTTTCTATTCTTTATTGTATATTATGGTTGATTTGAGGTAAGCAGCAACTTTTAGCTGCTGTCCTGTTCATTGAAAACTTTTGTTTGCTGTATGGCTTCCCTTAAAAAAAAGAAGTGGACATTTGTTTCATGTGGTATTTTTGTTTTTTTAATTTATTTTGGGATATATTGTTTTTTTATTTTATGTTGAAAGGGCTTTATTTTAGGTTAAACTAACTTTAGGTTGGCTTTTGTTATAGGGGTAGTTTTTTGGGGGTTTTCCTTTCTTTTGCGTGTTTTTTTTATTGTATGTTGATAGGGCCTTTTTTTTATGTAGGTGTTCCTGACCAATCAGAAAGCCAGGCGGTGAGTCATGAGATGACGTCCGGCTTCCTGATTGGTCAGGAAGCCAGGCTGCCTACCAACAAGTGAAGCTGGCTTCCTGGTCGATCAGGAAGTGGGGAGGCGGGTCATGAAAATTTGCCCGGCTTACTGATTGGCTAGGAAGCCAACTTCAGTTGTTCCTAGGCAGCTTGGATTCCTGACCAGGAAGCTGGGAGGCGGGTCATTACGTGCTGCCCGGCTTCCTTATTGGTTAGGAAGCCAGGCTGCCTAGCAACAAGTAAAGCCAGCTTCCTAGCCAATCAGGAAACCAGGAAGCTGGTCATAACCCACCACCCAGCTTCCTGATTGGAAAGGAAGCCAGCTCCATGCTCCCTAGGCGCAGCTGGCCAGAGGGAGGTCTACCTCTGACTGCAAGTTTCGCTATTGGAGGTAAGTTTCGGAGCATTTGGGGCGAGTATGAGTACTCGCCCAAATACTCTGTATCGGCACCAATACCAATACTTGTATCGGTATCAGTGCATCCCTATTACTGTCCTGTTGCTAGCCAATTACACTGTGTATCATCTGCCATCTCTAAATTCTTATTGAGAGCTTGCTAGCAGCAGGAAATTTAGCCTAACGAGAACAGGGACAGCCACAGTGAACTAGTGGACAATTTTTATCTGTCAAAGCTAGTCTATTACCATTTGATGAAAAGCACGTGTCGCTCTTAAAACTACCTAAAAAAAAATACTGTTTTTTCACACTGAAAAGAATCACTTAGAGATTTGGCTGCTGTATGTAACCCAAGCTAATTGAAGAAAAAAAAAGAAAAAAAATCAATTCCACAGCCAAATATGCATCACCAATGTAAGTTGGTGCTTAGACTGTCAGTAAAACATTGTGCGGTTCCACCACACTAAGGCATTTTCAACGTTGCCATTAAAGCCACATGAAAAGACCCTCGCCCTGCTGTGTGGTATTTTTTTGTTCTAAATTGTTTTGCATTGGTACATGTCCCCAATGGCAATGCCCAGCTGTCCATGCTTTTTTTTTAACAGTAGTTTGCTTATTAACCCTAAAAATGGCCAGAATTTAACGAAATTCAACCTCCCACACACACCCACCCTACCCCCTTAATAGACTCTAATGGGAATCCCCTCTAAGTTCGTGTGCTCCGAATTTGGAAAAGTAGTCTCCGGACACTTGGCGTATCAAACCCAGACAGATTTGCTCATCACTGCTGTTTAATAATGTAAACGTCTGGATATGTTTGCTCAGACAATAAGCATCTCAATTATTTAACACATTATTTTACTGTACAGAGACGGCTAGTTATGGCGGTGATCCCATTGGTAGAGAGGTTACACGCTGAAACCGTCTGGTAAATAAGAGAAGGTCAGCAAGCAGTCAGCTGTGTTATCTGCATACATAATGCTTACTGCACCATGATATTGGATAAAACATAAAACGCCATTTGCACTCGAGGGAGTTTTGTTAGTGTATGTGCAATTTCAGGGTCTGATTAAAGTTGGACTACATATAGAAAAGGTTTGTCTTTTGCAGAAGTAGTTTTCCTTCTAGCAAGTGTCATCTAAATAAACATATGCCATTTAAGTTCTGACCACCAAACAGAATGCCAGCATTGATGGCAATACAGTAAATGATTTTCTGTGCAGAAGTGACTTAGAAAATTCTTATTTGTTTAAGGTAAATGCTGAAAAAAACTCTAGTTTGCAGATTCTGACTTTCTCAAGACTTTTATTTATTAGTTTATTTCAGGATTTAAAGTATTTAAACCCAAAATCAAACATTGCATATATTCAATATGACGTGGTGGCTGCATTAGGTTTTATTATAAGGCTTCTTTTCCCTTAATTTTCACCTGGTGATCTTTCCAGCAACACATTTCTACCGTAAAGTGAAAATTCTTACTTACAGTACTGTATGTATGGAAGAGCCATGTTGTCTCCTTGTTGGCAGCTCCTCTGATTTGGACTACAAACACCCCCTTCCCCAAGGCCAGGGCTAGACTATTTTGCACCCTAGGCAAGACCAGCTACTTGCACCCCCCCAGCCCCACTCTCGTGGTGCAGCCCCCAATCCCCTCGACACGGCCCCATTCTCCTGCCAGCTAGCTTCCACAGGTGATAGATGGATGTAAACAGCTGGGACAATCGTCAGACTGCTGTTGGCTATTTTAATTTGAAATAACCAATAGCACACTAGCTATTGAAACCCGAAGAACTGAGCAGAGGAGCGGACCTGAGAGCGACAGTTGTGGGGGAGGGAGTGGTCAAGGCTGCGCCCTAGGCAGCAGTAAGTCCTAGGCGGTTGCCTAGTGGCAGCATTGGCCCTGCCCTTCCCTATCTCTATTACATAAATGGGGGGGGGGGGGGGGGTTCGGTGTGGGGGGAGA